CTACAACATTTCATTAATCTTAATCTTATTTTGATTGAAATTTTCAGTTAAACAATGCAAATTCGTTGGTCAATCTGTGGTAACCCATCTGTCCATGCATCCTTCCATGTTTTTTAGCTGAATTCTTATTTGGTTTTGAATTTTTGACAAAAGTAATCAGCTTTTCCTTATGTGGGTAGAGAGCATTGCCAATTCGGATCATAACGGTGATAAGCTCAGAAACTACTGTCCTGTTGATGGATGTTCAAATTCACTCTAACCCCAAAAATTCACAGTGCTTTCATTCCCCTTTTCTGTAATTTTATGCCATTAATCTATTTTTATAGTTTCTAACTTAATTTAGACGAGTTTATGCTGGTTTTGTTTATGTAGAGATGTGAAGGCCCAGGTTGATGATGAAGATATGGCTGTCATGAACCATATCAGGTCTGATGACTGGGTACTCGTCTGGAAAACCCTTCATAGTTTTACTTTTACTTTGTTTTTTAATAGTATCATTATTGATTTGGTTTATGGAGGTTTGGAGATACAGTTCTTGTTGGGATTTATCCTTGTTTTGGGATCTTGTGTTTATAGGTTGTGATGTTTGATGAGCATGGATTGGATATAGGGTCTGAGCGGTTTGCTGAATTAGTAGGAGATGCAGGGAGTAACGTAGGGAACTACAACTCACTAAAAGGTTGCTGACATTGATGTATTAATTTATGTATGGAATTGGATTTGTTCTTGGTATCAATATTTCTCTGTTCTGTGGCAAGAATTATGTATAGCAATGAACTTGCTGCTCTGTTTCAAATAATTGCTGCCTTGTTGGGCCCTAAAAATATTCCGAGTTTCCATATTGTAATTGTGGATGCATGCTTTATGTCTTATCCTAATATATCAAAGATAAAACTCATCGCGAAATATGAACTATTCAATTTCCAATATTTCATGTATGATTTGGTGGAGAAAATAAGATTACCTGATTGAAATCAATTTGGATTTGTTCTTTAGGTAGGCTTTAATTAATCAAAAAAATTTGGTGCTAGTGATCACCAGATTGAAATCAATTTGAATTTGTTTTTCTTAAAAAAATTTTATTTTTCTTTATTCCTTCCCATCCTCCACATTTCTCTTTGTTAAAGAAAAAGAATAAGAAAAATATTCCACATTTCCCTTTGTAAAACACAAAAAAATAAAATAAAATAAAAAATAAGATCCAGAGAAAATACTCTATGGGGCATTGTGTTTCCCAGCTCTGATATTATTTGATTGAATGATGCCTTTGTTTGTATGGACTTCGAATTGGATCCGATTATTACTTGTAGTCTGTAGAAACATTGGGTCCATTTTGTTGAATTGAACCGTCAGTTAATGTAGACCAGAAGCAGCCTGTTTTACTATTCTACTCTAATTTCCATGTATCGTTTCGTATTTTTAGTCTGATACCAATACAACTCCTTTTTATCACATAAAAACTCAATCCATGTGCTATTAAAATTGTAAAATATTATCTTTAAAAATACTAATTTTATTTAATTTAATTGATTAATAAAATTTTGCAAATAACTATGAACATCAACTAATAATTTATAAAATAGTTAGTATATATTAGTTAATAAATTAATACGTTTAGATACTGCAGGAAAAAGTAACATAAGCAACCAGAAAACTGGCTGCAGAGCAACAAAAGCAAAACAAAAGCTAGGAAACAGATTCTGATAAAAGCAACAAACCATAATGGTAAAGGTGCTGGAGACTTCAAAAAAAATATTAGATACAAAATGGGCTTGTTGCTTGGGTGCAGAATTCAATAGTTACTGGAAACCTAAATTCTAAAATCATAAATTCCATGAATTCAACGAAGTTGGGAAAAGGGCAATCAATATAAATATCTTGAAAACAATAACTCACTTGAATTGAATGTATGAATGCAATCACTAGTGAAAGATTAGAACTGGTTTTGACATGTATTAATCTCATTTATTTCTCTACTGGATAGACTTAGACCATAAACAAATGCAGCAACAGACTTGGAACTAACTGTAATCTCTCGGCTAAACAGAGAAGCAAAAATATGATAAAGAATTTCAGTCCAAGCCAAAGCTCCATCTAATACTAAACTGTCAATCATGACACTGATTAATGATCAGCATCCACTGTAATTAGGCATATGGTAATTTTTTGATCAGCCTAGGCATATGGTTATATGATAGCTGAACCCCAGTATTCCTAAATGCAAGCAGAAAATAACAAGATTCAAGAAAAGATTCACAAATCAGAAAAATAAATGACTTACAGATTCAGTATGACCAGCCAAAGAATGAACTAAGCCACCATCAGTAGCATTCCATACACATATTCTGCATTCTGCATTGTGGTAAGTTATTATTTGGTCAAATTTATGCACCCTGAAATCTAATTAAAAAGCATAATGGCAGTAGCACAATGGCAAATATGTTAATAAGCAACATCTAGGATTAAGCACCCAAACACCGCTACCTCTTACTGCAAAGAAGTACAAAAAAAAAAAAAAAATGCTACTAATTACAATGGTGAGCATTAGAAAACCATTTCTTTTGATCA